AAGAAGTCCTCCCCGAAATGGGTCCTGTGGAGCTGGCCCTTGCAGCCGTTCACGGTGGAATCTGTACTCTCATGGGAGCCTGAGAAACTTAAACATAAGATGTCAAGTAAAGCCAGCTCAAGGAGACACCATCCCCTGTAAAGAAACCCACCCTTTAATGGGTATCAGATCTGCACAGATGAGATTCCCAGGAACGTGAGTTCGCTGTCATACATCACAATGCACACACACACACACACACACACACACACAGGCATCGGGAGACGGAGCCAGCAAAAGCCACAAACAGAAGAATCAGTCACACAAAGGCTCTGGACATCGAAATGATCAGGCCCGGAATACAAAGCACTTTTGAAGTGGCTAGAGAAATAAAATACCAGATTGGCAACGTAAGCAAGAAGTGAGAGAATGTAAACTAATCAAACATCTCCAGACAAGTCATTGATGTGTAGACGCGCTGGGCATGTCTGTAATCCCAGCTACCTACAGAGGAGGCTGAAGTAGGAGGATCGAGGTTCAACCAGCCTGGAAAAAAGCATGAGACCCCATCTGAAAAGAAACTAAAGCAAGAAGGGCTGGGATGTGGCTCGAGTGCTAGAGTGCTTGCCTAGTAAGCATGAGGCCCTGGGTTCAAATCCCAGTACTACCAAAAAAAAAGAAGAAAGAAAAATCGATTCTGTAATAAGTGGAAAATAAAGGGTCTGTTTAGGCCAGGTGAAAAGAGAAGAGATTAAATAGAAAATAGACGTTAGTGAATTATTTATAATTCAATATTTGTTATGGTGTAGATGTAAAATGTCCTCCACAGGCTTATGTATTGGGGACTCAGTTGCCAGCTGATAGGCTTTGGGGAAGTGATCTTTAGGGCTCTGACTTGATCAATGGATTAACTCCTTGATGGAGTCACAATATGATTTTATGACGGGAAGGGGTGAAAAGTAGGAGATAGGCCTGGTTGGAGGAAGTGGGCCCCTGGGGCTGCCTCCTGATCTGGTTCCCTTTTCTCTGTTTCCAGGCCACCAAGAGGTGAGCAGCCTCTTTCACGTGTTCCTGCCACCATGATGTTCTGCTCACTGTGAGCCCAGAATCAACGGAGCCAAGGGCCATGGATGGAGCCCTCTAAAACTGTGAGCCAAAACCAAGCTTTCCTCTCCCAAGCTGTTTGTCAGGTGTATTGTCACAGGGACAAAAATACAATATTCCAACACAGACAAGGGGACTTGTGTAAAATGTCACAGAGAACAGAGGAAGGCAATCTCACCACACAGACTTCCAAAACGTGGTGTTCAAGACAAGGGAAAGAAAATACTCAGAGATAATGTGGGAGAATTGCCCAGAGTTTATGAAAAAATATCTACTTTCTCTCACGAGCCCTTGGCAAGATAAGTTCAAAAAGCCCTCCCCCTAGACTCAGGAGAAGAAACCTGAAGAAAACCCAACTGTTCTACCAGCGCTGGCTGGCGTTGCTCTGTGCCAGGCACAGAGGGTACAGCGTGAATACAGCCAGGAAAATCTTGCCTGTGTGGTTGATGTTCTAAGGGGGAGGTCAGCATGGAGCAAAATGGATAATTGAATAGTAGAGTTGTTTGAAGGGAGAAAAGCAAACTGGGGAGTGGGAAGTCAGAAGCCCACCACACAGGTGGTCCATTGTGGTAGGGGGTTGGGAGGGCCTCACTGGGAGGACGTCTTGAGCAAACACTCAGAGGAAGTGGAGGTGCCCTGGGGGCAGTTCCTGGCCAGCCAGGGCAAAGACCCTGCAGTGATGGCAGGTGGTTAAGAATTCAGCAAATTCTCTCCTATGGTGAGGGAGAGGATTTCCTGTTGGATCCAACACACCACAAAGCCAGCACTGTTACCGAAAGTTTGACCCATATGATTAGTCGGTTCAATACCTGGGTACATATAGATTCTGGTGCACAGTCATCAAAGAGCAGATATTTTTAACGTCATGTAGAATATTTGTATCACTTATGAAGCTAGTCCCAGTAAATTTAGAGGAAAAATGTCACTCAGGTTATTTCTCTAATCAGTCCATAATCTTCAAAAACCAGTAACAAAAAGCTAGTTGAAAAGGCCCCAGGTCTGTGAAAATTTAAGCGCACATGACTCAATAACGCATAGATGAAAAAATAGAGATGGCAATCAGATGATATTTAGAAAAGACTTTATACTTAAGCCAGCATGACACAGAAAAAACCGAATGCAATTATGTCAACAGAGGGAATTTACTAGCAAAAGATGGTAGCATGAAGCGGGGTGTGGTGGCATCTGCAGTCCAGCTCTCAGGAGGAGGATTGAAGGGGGACCACCAATTAAGCCCAGGGGTTTAAGAATAAAAAGAACAGGAGTTCTTTCTTATAAGGTGTAGAAAAGTATGAGAGAAAGCCTGACTCCCAAGGCAGAGTGAGATGTGGTTTGTCACAGCCCTTCAGAAGGTTGGGGACACGAGACACCTGTTAACTGAAGACCAGGAGGCGCTGGGCAGAGACCTGTGGCTGCCCTCCCCTAAGAGAGCAGGGGGCTTCATGATGCAAGGTGTAAAGTACCAGTCCCTGGAGTTTCCGGGGAGTGCACATGGCTGGTGGAGGTCTGCTCTGGGGTGGCCTGTGTGCACAGCCTGTTGTGGGTGAGTGAGCCCTGGGGTACAGGAATGGAGCTTGGGCTCCCTGTGATGCACGTGTACTGTGGTGGCTTGTATCGGGCGGTGAGGTGCCTCCTTTGCGACTGAGATGGACCTGGCTTGTATGACCTGATGTTTTCTGTACTATGACCCCATGTCTGCTTGACTTTTGCTGAGAAGCATGGCATGGAGTGCTGTAGATTGCAGCCAAAATGATCTTGGGCTGTCTTAGGCCCTTAAACAGCCAATGTCCTTAACTTTGTATGTAACCTAGATTTCTGGTGACTGTAAACTTCCCAGAATGCATCACTAAGCTAACCAGGCCTCCAGCCTCCCTCAACACTAAGGATTCTGAGACTTATAAAAGAGGCTTCCCCCTGGCTGTAGCCGCCCTCCTGATCCTCCACCAAGCTCACTGATAAAGGTATTCATTTATAATTTTCTTTTGTTAAAAGAAAAAGTAAAATCAAAAAAGAAAAAGAAAAAGGAAATGTAAAAGTTTGTGTGCCCTCTTCCATAGTGGAACGTCATTCAAGGCAAATTGAATCCTTATTTCCAGGTCATTGTCGCTCATATTTGGCCGAGAATAGACTATTTCCTATTTCCTTTAAAGCAGAGTTGTGATTTTCCATGGACAGGTGCCTGTGTCTTCTTCTACCTGCTGTCTTCAGGGCTGGGGAACAGCATGTCTCTCCCTCCCTCAGAGCGCTCCTGAGGCCAGGTGTGAGGGGTCCTCCCCCAACACCAGCTGTTGTGCTGCTGACTCCAGTGCTGACATCATCTACCTGGAGTTAGTGTAGATTCCCCAGGTTGAGGGCTTGGTCCCACAGGACGGCCTCATTTCAGGTGCCAGTCATGACTTAGGGCCCCCCATACTTGTGAATGAACAGCTGTAAAATACGACACCCTCTTGCACTGGATGCTTGCGTGAATGTCTCCCAACACTTCACTTAGGCTACCTTCGTATTATAAAGGATGCCCATGAACACTGGGGGAGGAGCACAGCGTCCCAGTGCAGAGCTTCTGACTCCAAGGAGCCCGCTCCCACCCTCCGGGCCCGAGGCTGTCCCTGGAGGCAGCGGTGGGTGGGGTAGAACTCCCGCCCTGCAGCCCCTGGATCTTTCTGGGCTAGCCAGGACCCCACCCTAGTCACCTCCTCAGCATACTCTCAGCTGTGCCGTGAATGCTGGTCACAAACAAAGACACCATCACTCAGGAAGGTCCAAGGGCTTTGGGGGCTCCATGGGTGTGTGGGGTTTCCAGTCTTTTAGCCATCTGGTCTAATTGCTGAAGGCAGGAGGAACTTTGATTATCAAGCAGGGCAGAAGAGCCCTGAGTGTCCCCCACGGGTTTAAACAGGGTTCTGACTGGCCAGACAGGAGCTGGGCTTCGTTTCCAGTTGGATGAGGGACATGGGAAGACTTTGAGACCATGTACGCCTGTATCTGAGGTTTGAGCCACAGTGTATGAAGACCACCCCCCACCTGTGCCTCTGTGTCCCTGCCAATGTGCTGCTTCTGCGTGGGGTGTCCTTCTTGTTCCTTGGCTAGCTCAAGGTCCCAGTGCTATCCTCCAAGTTCTGCTCCAAGTTTCATTTCCTCAGTGAGAAGTACTCATGGGCAGTGGTTTCACAGCAGGAGGTGGACCCACTCACATCCGCCACTGTGTTCCTCCACCAGCAGCAGGAACTCCTCCTTGGCAATCATAGTCTATCTGGACAGGGACTGGTGGCTCCTGCCTCCTCACTGCTGAGGACCTTGCTGTGTCACCACTGTGGTAATGGGGAGATATCACACCTGGGAGACCCAGAAATGGGGCAGGGGTGGCGGCACCCTGGGCAGTGAGAGCATCAGGGCCTCTTGCAGTGGGAAGCTCAGCCCAAGTAAATCTCCAATGCTCAGCACAGCTGTGGAAGGTGAGCACTTGAGGGGCTGTAAATTATCTCGTACAGCCCTGGCGGCAGAGCTCCTAGCTCTGTCTGCACAAAAGGAAGCTGAGGCTTGGGGTCACAATGGGACCTGCCCAAGAAAATGAAGAGGAAGAGCCTGGGCTAGGGACAGAGCCTGGGGTCTGGGCAGGTCACACTCCCCTACTGTGAGCCAGTTGGGAGCTGTTTTTCCTTTTTCCTTGCAATAAGAGTTCAATGAGGAAATGCCCTCATGGAAACCCACATTCCAGCTCCAACATCAACAGAGCCAAAGAAAAAAATGACCACAACCTGTCTACAGAAGGTGCAAACAACAACAGGGAAGTGACCATGTGACCAGCTCGCACCTGACCCAGGCAGGGATATAAAGGGCCTGGCTCAGGGGGCTCCACACTGCACCCCTCCCTCTCTCTCCACCTGCTCCTCGGACCCCTCCATCCTCCAAACAGAACCATGAGCTGCTGTGACTGCTCCGGAGGCTGTGGCTCCTGTGGGGGCTGTGGCTCCAGTGGCTGTGTGCCCGTGTGCTGCTGTGTGCCAGCCTGTGCCTGCCCCAGCTGTGGCTCCTGTGGGGGCTCCAAGGGAGGCTGTGGTTCCTGTGGAGGCTCCAAGGGAGGCTGTGGTTCCTGTGGAGGCTCCAAGGGAGGCTGTGGTTCCTGTGGGGGATCCAAGGGGGGCTGTGGTTCCTGTGGGGGATCCAAGGGAGGCTGTGGTTCCTGTGGGGGCTCCTGTGGGGGCTGTGGCTCCTGTGGAGGCTGTGGTTCCTGTGGGGGATCCAAGGGAGGCTGTGGTTCCTGTGGAGGCTCCAAGGGAGGCTGTAGTTCCTGTGGGGGCTCCAAGGGAGGCTGTGGTTCCTGTGGGGGATCCAAGGGAGGCTGTGGTTCCTGTGGAGGCTCCAAGGGAGGCTGTGGTTCCTGTGGAGGCTCCAAGGGGGGCTGTGGTTCCTGTGGAGGCTCCAAGGGAGGCTGTGGCTCCTGTGGAGGCTGTGGTTCCTGTGGAGGATCCAAGGGGGGCTGTGGCTCCTGTGGAGGCTCCAAGGGAGGCTGTGGTTCCAGTGGCTGTGTGCCTGTGTGCTGCTGTGTGCCAGCCTGTCCCTGCTCCAGCTGTGGCTCCTGTGGGGGCTGCCAGTCCAGCTGCTGCAAGCCCTGCTGCTCCCAGTCCAGCTGCTGTGTCCCAGTGTGCTCCCAGTCCAGCTGCTGCAAGCCCTGCTGCTCCCAGTCCAGCTGCTGCAATCCCTGCTGCTCCCAGTCCAGTTGCTGCAAGCCCTGCTGCTGTGTCCCTGTGTGCTGCCAGTCCAGCTGCTGCAAGCCCTGCTGCTCCCAGTCCAGCTGCTGTGTCCCCGTGTGCTGCCAGACCAGTTGCTGCAAGCCCTGCTGCTCCCAGTCCAGCTGCTGTGTCCCCGTGTGCTGCCAGACCAGTTGTTGCAAGCCCTGCTGCTCCCAGTCCAGCTGCTGTGTCCCCGTGTGCTGCCAGTGCAAGATCTGAGGCTCTGATCACAGACCCAGGTGACTCAATCAATTTCATATTCCTCAAGACACATTCTGTAGCATCTCACAGACCTGATGCGCTCACCTCATTCCTGCTCCAGAATACTCTCCTCACCTCCACAGCTGGGCATGCATCTGTTCCGCTGCAGAGGAACACATGCACTTCAAGCCCTGGAGGTGCATCTGGGTTCTTAGTCTCTGTAGATCCCAGGCTTCTTTAGAGTGCTGACTTCCTGGGTCCCCTGAACCATTCCCTGCTTGCAGCCTCCTTGACCATCCCAGCTCTTCAACATCTGCCCCCAGCCTACCCCTTCTTTCATTTTTCATGCATATTTTGGCCCTAATGGGGCACTGTGAAATCCTTAAATAAACATTGTTCCTATGCACATGATGCAATTCTCATGAATTTCTTGCTAGCTTGAGCTAACAAATTAAATACATCATCTCTGCCTACACCCTACACTTTGATCCATTCATTCATTCACCCTCCAGTGATGGCCTCCTGTGCTCAGGATCCATTTGAGTCTCTGAGTCTGCAGCAAGGAGGAAACCATGTTGCCATCTAGAGGAAAGGAGGGCTGAGGGTCCACTCCAGAGGCTAGCATCTGGGGACAGGAGAAGACTAGCTCCTTGTGACAGTGGACCGGAGCCCAGGTGAAGGGGTCATAGAGACAGGTGGATGGGAGAGGTCCCTGATAAGGAAGGCATGGGGTGGGGGCTTGGGCAGTGCATTTCTGAGGACACAGACATGGGCTCCCACAAGCTGAGCAGTCAGGAGCAGACACTGCACTAACACTTGGGCAAGCAAATATCTTCTGGATATCTCTGCTCCTCTATGAAATGGGACTTTTGAGTATCTACACCACCATGTTGTGAGGACGAAATGTCTGATCCACACAAAGTGCATAGTATACTGTCTGGCTCGTGCAAAGGACCCAGCATAGCTGGCATCACTAAAACCATGGCTTTGGAAGGGGGGAAACAAGAGCGGGAAGGGTGGAGGAATGTGCAGGACCCTTGCTGTAAAGGACTTTGGTCTTTTTGCTGACTGCTAAAGAGCCACCATTTGGCTCTAAGCAGGGCTCTGGCTGAAAGTTCTGAAAGTTCATTTGGTATGTGGGGATTATTGAAAGACCAACCAAATGTAGTGAGGCAGCATAGCTGACAGACTGTGTGCCTGGTGTTTTATAGGGCCAGTGTCCGTTCAGCTGTGAGTGCAGGGCAGTGAGAAGTGAGGGTCCAGCTGGTCATGAAGCTGGACATACTGAGATGTGGTAGCAACCCATTGCTGGGTAACAAATTACTACAGACTCAGAGATATAAAAGTGCAGTGTCTGTAGGTCCAGAGTCCAGGCAGGTTGAACCTGGGTTCTCATCTCAGGGTGCCCCAAAGCCACCATCAAGATGTCAGCTAGGCTGGGGTTCTCATCTGGAGCTCAGGGCCCTCTCCCAAGCTTATTAAGGTTGTTTGAAGAATTAACAGCCTTGTGATTATAGGATTAGAGTCCCTATTTTCTTGTGACTTGTCAACTAAGTGACCATCCTCAGCAGCTAGAAGTTCCTTGTCCGGTGGCTCCCCCTATTGGCTATTCAAAGCACAACGGCAGTCAGAAGGATGCATCTCTCTGACATCTTCTTAATAACTCACCCGATTAGGCCAGGTCCACCCAGGCTAACCTCCCTTTGGATCAGCTCGAGTGGCCAGGCATCTTAATTATATCTGCAATCCCCCATTTTCACCTGAAGCAGACCATGATCAAGGAATGAGGTCTCCTTACGGTCAAAGTTCCACCCATGCTCAAGAGGGATCTGTGTATGATGGGAGTCTTGAAGGGTTAGTCTTCTAGTTTTGCTTGTCTCAGGAGGAGAGGAAGTCTGGGGAGGTGAGGACAGTCACATCCACACCACCCATGGTGTAGGGAGTGCTCCCCTATGTGCAGAGGAAAGGAGGGCTGCGGAGGGTGGGGGAATGAGTGGGGCCTGTAATTCCAGCCTGGAGGTTGATTTTAGGGTCAGAGAAGAGCAGGGAAGAACAGAGCCCTGGGGATATGGACACAGAACCCAAGAGGAGGAACAGGAGAGTCATGGGGGCCATAGAGGAGCCCCAAGACTGCCTGGAGGAGACCCAGGATTCTGGGACAGCTTGACTTTCAGACCCTACACATGCTTAAGGTATGATTGCTTGTGTAGAAAATCCTAAGGAATCTACAAAAACCCAACCATATGCTCAAAATGCTCATGGAACTAATAAGTGAGTTTTGAATTGAACAAAGTCACAAGGTGCACAAAAATACTGTATAGATATTGCATATCTATACAATAGCAATGAATACTTGGAAACCAAAATTTAAAGCATAACATCATGTATAATACATAAGCATTAAGTTATCAAAAGGACAGAATCCATGTGCTAAAAACTACAAAACTACTAACAAAATACATCAAAGAAGATCTAGATCAATAAAGAGTTATATACCATGTCCATGGATTAGAAGACTCAATATAGCAAAGATGTCAGCTGTTCAAAATTAATCTATAGTATGACAACTGCCTGAAATTAACCTATAAAATGTCAATTGCCTAAAATTAATCTTTGAGATGTCAGTTGTCCAAAATTGATCTGTAGTTCTACAAAAATTCCTATGAAAATCCCAGAAGGATTTCTTGTAGATACAGATCTAAAATTTACATAGAGAGATAAAGGAACTAGAAAAGCCAAAGCAATTTCCGCAAAGAAGAGTACAGTTAGAGGAACAACACTCCCTAATTGTGAGATACAGCATGGAATCACAAAAGGTGAGCGTGCTGGCAGAGGAAAGTCACACGGATCAACACACAGAACAGGGAACACAAATACCCCTCCCCCCATGCACAGCCACCTGTTTTTTGACAAAAGGACAAAAACAATCCAATGATAGAAGATGGTCTTTTCAACAAGCAGTGTTAAGACAATTGAACAGTTTTTGAGGGAAGATAACCTTGACCCAAACTCTACATTCAGTATAACTGAAAGCATATTGTGAAATGTAAAACACACAACAATAAAACTTTCAGAACAAAACAGAAGAAAAATCTTTGTGACCTGGGGTAGGTGAGGAGTTCTTACATATGGCACCCAAAGTACAATCCATATAAGAAAAATTCGATATCATAAAAATTTTTTTTTGGTAGTATCAAGGTTTGAATGCAGGGCAGGTGCTCTACCACTTGAGCCATGTCCCCAGCCCTTTTAGCTATTTTTCTAAGGTTTTTGTGTTTATGTCCAGGCCTGCCTGGACTGCCATCTCCCATGTATGCTTCCTGCATAGCTGGGATGACAGGTGCCACCACTCCCAGCTTTTTAAAAAAATTGATCTCAACCTTTTTGCCCAGGCTGGTCTTGAACCACGATTCTCTTAATCTGTCTCCCGAGTAGCTGCTGCCAATCCAGCTGCCATGTCCTTGTTTGCTGTCAGTGCAATATCTGAGACTCTGGTCTCAGACTTCAGTTGTCCCCTGCACACTTGCACCCTCCAGACAGGGACAGGAGTGGCATTGAGATCCCTAAGGCTTTCCTCTGGGTGTCCATCTTCAGTTGTGAAAGCTGCATCTCCAGATTGAGGAGGACCAGGGCCTGGTGTAGAGGAAGGATGGCTGTCATTCATGGAGTTGGCTACCGGCCTCCTATGCTCTGTGACTCAAGCCTCTTCTCCCTGCACTTCACTCCCAGCCTCTGAGGACCTGACTCCCTGTGCTCTGGCTTTAAGTAGACACACGTGAGTCCTGGGGTAGGTGGGCAACAGCGGGGCCCCACAGCCTGGGGTCCTGGGAGCTGTGAACTCCTTTTCTACAAGCTTCAGCCCATCCTGGGTACAGATCCACTTGCCATCTCTCTGGTCACCGCTCTCTCTGATTCTGTACAGGTGTGAACTGTGTCCTTGCCATCTTTCAATAAATGCACTTCTCACAGTGGTTCTTTGTTCTGAGTTTGACCAGAAAATCCCTAGGCTCCCTCCTTGCCCCATCCCTCCTCTAGGCTCAAACATAGAGAGTCACAAGAGACCATCACTCTCAATAGTCACCAAAGTGAGCCACATAAACTACAAAAGCAGAGAACCATGGGGGAGATAGTGGATTAGACACACTTGGCTTTTTCCTGCCTCTCCACAAATTTGAAATAAAGCATGGCTGCTGGGAGAGGTGGGTAGTGTGGAGCAGTATGGGAAGTGTGGCAGTAAGCAGTAGACAGAGACTGCAAGAGGCACTTAGGCTGTGTTTGCTGAACAGCACTGACTCCTCACTTGGGCCCACGAATTAACTAAAAACAGGAGAAAAATTTGGTATTCCTGTCTCCACTTTGTACCTGTTGTCTTTTGCTCTGAACCATTCTCTCTTGCAGCCTCCTTGGAATCAAGGAAGGACAGGAATGATTGATGACATCTTTATGACAATGGACTGGAACCTCCCTCAAGGGTAAGTGGAGTCTTGCAGGACAGACTCCCACCCCAAATGAGGACAATAACCTATAATGACAAGGCTGCACCCTGGAGCAGGAATAATCATGTTTTGGGAACCAGATTGCTCCCCTCCAGTGATGACCGCAATGACATCTTCTGTGGAGCCCTTCAAGAACAAGGACTAAGATAATGGTCAACCGGGCCATACCTGTGACTGGGACTGTTTAACTATACACAACCTTTGTCCTCTGCCCTAATTCATTGTCTATTTAGAGCTAAAGCTCATATCTGTACCTCAAAGATGGCTAAAAATGGGCTGAGTGCCTACTCTGCTCTTCCTATGACGAGCCCCAGGCTGGGTGATAAATCTCCTTTTTCTGCCCTTCTCTGTGTTTCTTTATTTAGTGTACAGGGGCAAGTGCCTGGACCTGACATGTGGAAGCCCAGGAGTTTGGGCCTGGGGTCCAAAACTCTGGAATCAAGACTGGTGAAATTCAGATATATTAAACTTAAGATTTGCAAAAGAAGCAGTGAATCCTGAAGTAGGACTCAATGCAAAATG